AAGGGAACCTGTTAAAGTTGGTCCCCCGACGTCTTAGCTGTCCTCTGATGAATACTTTGCAGGCGTTGAGCTACTGTGTGCTCTGAGCTCCTGTCCCATCCGTGGGCAGGCGATGCGGAAAGGGGTCCCGAAGCACGGAACTCTGGGCTGAACGTTCACCTGCAGTGGATTGGCATTGCCATCCAAAGACATTTCAAGCAGTCATGAATCTAATGTGAATTTCTGGCATGGGAGGAAAGGTATAAAGGGCGGGAACTAAAGGTGGTTTCAGCACAGCTCAGCTGGATGCAGAAATCCTCACCATGTATCCTACTGGGCTGATGAAATAGTCCCGTGCAGCTTCTGCAGCGTGTCTTTCCTTTTTGCCTAGAACATTCTTGCAAAAATACACCTTTTTTTTCATCGTTCCCTTCAGCGGACATGGAAATGTATCAGTCCTCGCAGCTTCCTCCCTAAAAACATAGAAATAGTAAAATTAATTTCTCATCAATGGTTAGCATTAAGTCATAACAAGCTAACTTGGTTCAGTGTAACTGAGCCAAGGACATACAGCAATCAGCATTTATGGGAATGAACACACCACCATTTGTTTTAAATGAAAACTGTTCTTCCATTAGCTCAAAGTAGCTTGTAAAATCTTTCACTATGACTAAAATCTGGAGTAACGCTGGCTATAATTCACCAAAGATTGTGCTGTAATGCTTATTTATGGCATTATCATTTTAAGTTTTTTGTCAAGTAAAGCAGTAGGGATCAAGTGGACTCCCTCGCATCTGCCATGCCTTTGAAAGACAGCATGTGCCTGCTCAGGAATTAAATTAGGAATTAAATATTGAATCAAGAACACACGTGTAAGCCGTTAAGGAGATCTCAATGCTGAGCTCGCATCCACCAGGCCACTGGTGTAAACGGAAGACGCTATGGTCACCCTCTGTCCTGAGCAGAAGGGAGCCCTGTCAGCACCCTGGTGCAGCACCCCAGAGCCTCTTGCCCAGAAGGTGGCTGCTTCCTCCAGGCTGTGGGGAAGAAGGGCCAAAAGGTGGTCTAGGGAGAGAGGTGCCCAAAGCGTGCTCTGTGTTTCTTACTGTTGACAGAAAGATGGGCTGGTGGAGATGCAGTTTACACAAGACCCTACAACTCAAAGACACACCGAGTTTGAGACCAATTCCGCATCTCTTCTGGAAGGGCCAATCCTTTACTCTCTAATGGGAAGATGCAGAGAGGATTACGATGGCCATATCCTTCCTCAGGCAAGTCTTGGTTTTTTTCTGGCAAGAGAGATCTTTCTTAATAAACAACTGCTCTTTCTTATGAGCTTGCTGTCGTCAGTGACCACAGCGCTGCATGGACACAAAATAGATTTTATCTGCCCAACACAACTCACAGGCATTGACTATCATTTTGTTTTCTTCACTGGGTAAAAGGAAGAAAATGGCTTTTAAATTAGATGTTGAACCCCTTCCAGAATTGCAATATAAGATACTGAATCAATCATTCTTCATGCAGTTACCTCCTACTCCACAAGCTCCTACTACCACAAAAATTGGTTGTTGCCAACTCAGATGAGTGAATAATTTGCAGTTTCATATTTGTTAGAGGAAATGTTCCTCTTCCTTTTTTCATTATTTGTCCATGAGCATATTGATTTTCTTGATTTTTTTTCCCCCAAAACATGTGCTGTAATCACTCTGCAAGTAATTCTCGACGTAAATAATTTGTGAGCAATTTGTTGTGAGAAGTCTTCAAATATTTGTCTTCATTCCGTTCATTCTGTATGAACTTGCATCCCGCGGTGTCTCTGTTTCTGTGAACCCAACATCAAAAGAGCCAGTTCTGAGTATTCTCCCTGAGAACAATCCCACTTCTGAACCTAGAAAACTCACATAGAAAGCACATTTTATTGAAAATTATTTAAGACTTAGGAATGCAGATTCCCCAGAATGCTTGCAGTTTACATGCATCTGTGATTTCCATGCTAACTGGAAGATAGCTTTTCCAGCACTAAGGGGAACATTATTTTACCCACTTCAAAACTCGAATCTGCTCCTCACCCAGAGCTTTTGTCTCGTCCTGATTCATTACAATCTCTGTCTCACAAAACATCCCTTGTGAGAGATGAGGCTTTCAACGGCCTATGAAGTGGTTGGGTTCCTAATTACGACTGAAATCATGCACAATTTCATTATTGAAAAATTACTTAATTCCCAGAAATAATTATGGGATTCTCCTCATTTTCATTGCCTCTTAATGAAAAATAAGTACGTATCAAAGCACTAGCAGGAGAGTCTGATCCCAGCCCTGCTGGAGTCAGTGGAAAGCCTTCCTTTCCCAGCGATGCAGATGGAGGAAACTGCCCTTGCCCCATTGCAAGATATCTTTTCAGATAAAAGTTTAAAAGAACGATTGCGCTGTTCAGAGAGATTTGGGTATTTTACCACATGTCGTCTTAAGAAGAAAAACCTTAGAATGACTCTGCAATATCAAAGAGGAGGTAAAAGTCAACTCAAACACCAAGTGCCATCTTATACCAGAGTGAAAATTTCAAATTCAAGTCTTGCAGTTGGCCTTAAATGGTTGCTTTAAAGCTGTTTATAACATATAGGCCTTGGCTCTTGTTGGTATGCAGTGGAAATACTTTGCTGGTATTTTGGATGATGTAAACAGTTGCTGCAACTGTCACCCAGGCACTTTGTGATGTTAAGTAGGAGAAACAGAAATAAGGAAGTAATGAAATTCATGGATGATGATGCCTGTGACTGTAACTGGGACACGTACATCTCTTCCCTCATCCCTTACAAAGGCTCCCCTCTATGAAAATATGAACACCTTGAAAAACAATTTAAAGAAAAAAAATCCGCATAGAAATACTGAAGAATGCCAGTCATAAACCAATTAACATTTTTTCAAATACGAATTTTGCAAAGGGAAGTTATATTTTGCTATCAAAATGTCTTTTTCTGAAATTAGTTTTAATTTTGTCAGTGCAAAAAAGACAGTGCACCCTATTAATGTTCTTAAGCTGTATCGCCTGAGATGGACTGAAATGTTAACTCTTGGTGCTCATAACTGACTGGGGATAATTTGGTCTGCTTCATTTAGCCTGCTGCAGAAATAAGTTGGTGATGCTAAGCATCAAAGTTCCCTGAACCCAACTTCCCAATGGGCAGTTCAGGCTTGCCTACCAATCTGGGTGCCAAATCCAGCCCAGCCGCGGAGATGGGAGAGCTGCACACTCCAGGGGAGCGCCCTCAGGGAGCCATGGCCACCTTCTGAATGTCCACAGGCCTGGGGCAGCTGACATGACTTAACCAGCGCACTGTTGGATCCACTCTCCAGAAAGGCCTGGATTCTCTCCTCAGAGACGGCAATACTGTCTGTATCAGTTTAAAGGCTGATACCACCGTTCCAGGGAAGCAGCACAGCAATTCCTGCAGCAGATGATATGTATGGCATTCCTCTTCCTGCCAGATGTGGATGGCAAGCATCACAGAATCTTTTCACTCAGTTTTAGTTATAGTTCATGCTGAATCACAGAAAATGTGAATAACTCAGACGCAGAGTGTTTCTTTCCACTTTTCACCATATTTTTTTCCTGGTGCCTCTGTTACGTGACTTCACATTTGGTATTCTGATACTTAATGGAGTTTTAGGGCAAAGAAATGGTGATGTGCTGGCATACAGTTTTTAAAACTTTGTAAGAAGATAGATTCTTTCCATGCATTCTTTACATCATAGTTATTATAGAGACCTACAATATTATACGTGAGAAGAAAAAGTTGCTATACTAAGAAAAAACCAAACCAAACCCTAGCTTGTTTTATTGTGAATTTGCATATTCAAGTCCATTTATATCACTGAAAGGGCAGCAGTCCAAAATAGAAATAACTCAGAAAGCAAGGTTGCCACCCTGAATAGCCAGAAACCGCGGCGATCATTTCAATAGCAGCACTCTGTGTGGATTCCTGCCTGGTTTCGTACCTGTGGCGCGCTGTGCTCTGCTTCACAGTGATGTGAGCTAACACAGAATAAAGCATGCTGTGCACCATGTACTCCTATTCTGCAGAGCAGGTACAATCCCCGTAACTGTACCACAACCACATGGCAAATACCATGTAAATACATAGCAATTGCATGTTCCTGCAGCTTGCTTGTTAATTATGCATTGCTGCTAACAAGTTCAGAGATAAATTATCATAGCACTTGCAGCGTTTAGGTGCTTGCAAAGCTCCTGAGCGATGCAATAATGGAATTTGTACTATTAAATGCTTGCTTTTGTTGATTTGCCTTTGGAATGGGGAAGGAACAGCTTAAGCGCCTATTTCTTATTGCTACAGCAGAGGTATGCTGCCATGCAAAATTGCATGACACATCCACCAGTAAGGAAATCTGGACAAATTAACAAAAAAATCATTTCCATTAATAAATCACTTTCAAATTCCATTTAGTAATCCTCCTAAGCAAATGCCGTGTTTAAAATAGCTGGTACTGGCACGCAAGAGAACTTACACTGTTTTCCTGACCCAATATTTAATATTGCACAGGCTAAAAATGAGAGGAAAACCTCATTTCCCTGATGTTGCTGGCAAAACTATTGATTTCAGTGAGGGCAGGGCTCTACCCAGACAGCTCACTTGTAAATGGATTCTTGAAATAGCTTATATTATATTACGTCAGAAATACATCACCATGCAAGGCCACTCCGTAGCCTGTGCTAGCTCTTCTACATGCCACTCTGCAGTATTTTAGACTACAACTTAGAACATTTAATAGGTATTTTAACAGTATTCAATAAAATAAAATTAGCCTCTCTATAAACATTGCTCTTCTCCAAAGTGAAGCTTCCCTTTAAGTTATGACTCTGTAATGGTTTGGGCAGCCATTTATGCCAACTTTTACAACCCATGTTGGATCACCTTGGGTTTTGTTTTTTTCAATTTCATTATTTTTGTATTGATTTTCAATCTGAAAGGTGATGTATATGTTTATGTTTCTGACCCCCTTTTTTTCCTATTGTAGTTGTTGGGCTATTTGTTCTAAAAAATTTCTAGCATTTATTGCAAGGAAGTGCAAATGTTGGTCTTCAGGTATTACAAACTTACTACTAGCAGAAACAAAATAGCCAGCTATTATTATCTGTTGCTTACAAAAATCCTGAGTATGGACTAAAAACACGCTGTAATTGGCCGTGCATAAGCACAGATTAAACCAGCAACCGTAAGGAAGGGGGTGACACGCTGGGGATGGACCAGACCAATACAGACAAGCAAGCAAGGATGGAAGCAAGGTGATGGCAGCATTGGTCATGCTGGCAGGTAACACCCCCAGACCCTGCCTCCGCATCTGTGCACAGAGACAGGAACATGAGGATCTTTTGACAGCATTTTGAGGAAGATTAGGAGATCGCTTTGTGGCTGAAACCTCGGCCACAGGGGAAATTCTGGAATTCTTACCCATTGGTGGGAGGAGTCAGTCATTTCCCAGTGAGAGACATGCCTGGGGATGCGAGTCAGGGAGGGTATTGGGAATGCAAAGAGCAGTAACTTACTTGAAATGAGAGAGAAGCAGAAAACAAAAGTAGGCTGAAGAGACTAGCAAGGATGCCAAGCCAAAAATCAGATAAAATTGTTTTACTTTGTGATTCTCACAGTGTTGGTGAAGCCCAGAATGCGGGAATGTGTATGTGAGCCATAAGATCATCAGACAGGTTCAAAGTGTTCATTTTCAGTTGGAATAGAAAAGGATGTATCTTAAATGCCGTTTCTGTCATGGAGAAATAATGGTCGAGTTTAGATACGGTCTGTACAGGCTCACCCGTAGAGCAACCTCTGCTGAAGATGGGACAGTGGATGGGAATGACAAAAAAACCCAATGTGATCATAGTGTTCATAGAACCTGAGAAATAAGTTGATGGGACAAGCTTGGAAGAGACTCTAACCCCACCAGTTTTAAGATACTGACCTTGAACAGACAACTAGAGCTTCAGAAAGAAACACCAGAAACATGGGCTGAGGTTCTGGTTTGGACAGAAGAGAAGTCTGTCCAGGAGTGACAGCAAAATCGTATTTGTGGTAGAGGCTCCTTAATGACCAAGTGTGGAGGAAACAGGGAGAGAGAGCAGGAGAGCTTACGGGGAGGTTGAGAAAGGATGAGGGTGATGCTCCAGTCTGTTTTGAAAGAACAAATAGAAAGGAGAGGGTCTGACATACAAACTAAGGCTGCATTTTAGCAGGAGGATAGCTTCCATGCTCAAGGCAGATTTTAAGGTTAAAGACAAGACTAAGGGAAGGGACAAGAGTTGGCTTAGAGAAGCCCAACAGGAATCGGAAGGCAATTAGGTTGCTGCAGCAATGCACGGCGTGTTGAAGTATTTTATTATCCACTGTGCTCTTTAATTGCGAGCATAATACAGGCAATAATTTCTAAACCAAAGTATGTTCTTATTGAAGATCCTTGGTTCTTTAGTAGGAAAATAACTTCATATGCAGAATGATTTTTGGTTTTAATGGGTTTATTTTTGTGTAACTTACATTGACTTTAAATAAAAGGCAGCTGTACATTTCCAGAGGTGTCTAACTGGCAGTATAACTGAGGCTCATTAGCCCAGCTGCCCAGTGTCTTTGAAGATGGTATCCTTGTTCAGATGGAATTACCTTGTTTTCCTTCAGTCATTCTTGCTCCCTCCTCAGTCCTACCCTGGAGCCTGAAGAAATGTTTGTAAGTTCTCCTAAAAAACAGACATCTTCCTAAGATAAAACAAATACAAATGATCTTTCTTCACTCCTAGGGTCTGATCTTGATCTTCCTGAAATCTGCAGTGAGATTCCTCCTGTCTTCAGTGATACCAGGCACAGTTCGACCAGGCCAGATGTAAGCTTGAAATTCCCCTAATGAAAAAGGCCTCAGTACACTGAATGGGGGAGATACCCATTAATAACTATTTAGGAGAACACGGTGCCCTTGAAAGGCTCATTATTTTGAGTTACCCATTCAAAAAAGCCTAATCAATAGGAGAACAAGTGAAAAATCTCTCACAGAAACAGACAGCAGAATACTGCATTCAAGAGGACAGCCACCAATTAAAAGCAATGTCAACGAGGCAAGTGGCAACTTCAAAAGGGAAATCTTTTCCTCATTTTCATATGCATTCTTCATGAGCAACATCAAGAAGTGTAACACGCTAATAGCTAATAACACTCAGAATAAGATTCACTAATTTACTAACTGAGTAATTTAATGCATATCAAAGGAATGATTTTCTCGTTTCATTCTTTTTTTAGATCTAACACTAAGCTCGGTATTATCAAGTAGATGAAGCTGCACAGATTACAAGCTGTCACTGGAATAGTCATTTTAGAATCGAGTTTGGTGTTTTCTGTTGGATGTCTCTTCTGAGTTTAAGGAACCACATACTTAATTTCCTTGTTATAATTCTGATTTCAAAAAACAAATCAGGAATCTCTGTGAAAATGTGGCGCTTGGCTACAATCAGTGTTTTGTGGAGACAGCTCTGTTACGATGTTCAACTTTGAAAATGCTGGGGACTGCAGAGAGGTAGTGCCATTGCACGTCCCAGGTCTGCCAATAACACGGTGGCTGGGAGAGGTTTAGGAGATGGGGGCCTGGGCTGAAGCAGGGTGAGCGGTGTGCTGCAGAGGGCCCTTGGCTCTCCAGGCATGGAGGACTCTCCCTCCTGCCTCCTGGGAATGGTGAGATTCCAACAGTTGGTTTGATTCCAACGCAGAACAAAAGACAAATGTTAATTTTTTTTTTTTTAAATTGCAAAAGAGCTTTTGTGTACTCCAAAATGCTAGACTAGGTATTGAAAAATATAGAAAGTCTACACAGTAAGAACCATTTCTTGTTTACTGTGATTTTTAGAAGCGTATTTACAGAATTCTACTAAATTTAAACAAGGTTTTGCCTTTGCTACTACTGTACACTATGTAGCCCGCTACCATCTGCTAAGACACTTTAAGTATAAGTTACCAGTTAAGGTACCCAACGGAAAAACAGCTCTTCTTTCAGTTTGTGTGTCACAGCTTACCAAGCGAGACCGCAGGCAGGCAGGCAGCCATCAGGGTCTCAACGTCTGTTCAGTAGATGGAGGGAAGCAGAGTGCTCCAGGATCAACACCAGGGCTGATGTTATTTAGTGTATTCACCGATGACCTGGATGATGATACAGAATGCAGACACAACAAATGTGAAGATGCCACTAAATTAGCATGGAGTCATTGTCATGTCAAATACTGACTTTTGTGGAGGGATCTTTGGGAACTCAGGATCTGGCCCGCAGAAGTTTAACAAGATGTACGAAGTCCCACATCTTGGGCAGAATAATGCCATCTGCCAGGAGAGGCTGGGAACTGCCTGGCTGAGCAGAAGCCCTCCTGGCAAGGACTTGGAGGTTGCAAGGGATGTCATGGGAGCCAACAGTGTGCTTGCTGCGAATGGGCCAAACTGCACACTGGCCTACTTTTGAAGAAGGGTGGCCAGCAGATTGAGGAAACTCGTTATACCTGTCTCCTCAAAGCCACTAACATCACACCTGGAATATGGTGTCCAGCTTTGGGCCCCCCAGGTCAAAAGAACATTCAGAAATGAGAAGGGAAGGTAGAAGAGGGCTGCCAGGATGGTCAGGGACATAGAGCACCTGCTTCAGGTGGTGGAGGAGGCTGTGGCCTTTCAGTCTGGTGTGGAGAAGGCTAAGGGGTGGTCTAATAGCAGGCTGCAACTGCTTGAACTGGAGTTGAAAAGACAGGGCCAAGCTCTTTTTGGTGGTGACAAAGTGTATAGAAAGGGGCAAAAGCTGCACACTGTAGCTGGGGAGGTTCAGACTGGACATGAGGAGGAACTGCTTCAGTGAGAGGACACTGCAGTAATGGAAGGGGTTACTCAGAGGGGGACACCAAAGATCTGGCTAGGTAAAATCGCAGCAGACCTGATCCAGTGTTGGTGACAGTCCCACTTTGAGTGGAAGGTGGGGGTTGATCTAGGGGTCCCTTCCAACCAGTATTTCTACAACGTAACTCAGACTCAAGCCAGTGGCGTTATCAAAACCTTACCGAAATGATGTTAAATACAACTAAATGAAAAGTGCGCTCATCAGTAAATAGGAAGGAAGATACACCTCCTCATCTGGCTTGTCTTCTCATGGCAAACTCTTCACCAACAGGGCACGCTATTGCAGCAGGCTACCCATCCGTACTGCTTTCCTCTCCCGATCTCTCAACAGCAAACAATGTTTCTGTGATGCCCCTTTAATGGGGAAGGACAGACTGTTGGAACCAATGGCTTTGTGGCAGATGGAGCAACATTTGCAATTGGGAAAAAACACTCTCATGCTGCCAAAATATTAACAAGGGGCTTCCTCAGAAATATTCTGCCACAGTCATTGATAGATGTAAATTCCCCATGTAAATATGACTTCTTCCAAGGAAAAAGGTATCGTTTAACAGGCTTTCTGAGGACAAGGACCCCTCCGCACCCTTTTTTTTTTCCTCTCCTGCAAACCCCTTCACTTCAGTCACAAATTTTCAGTGCTGCAACCCCTTACGGATGCCACGTGTGGTGGTAACGCTGATGAGAGCAGCAGTGAGCAGGGTTGGTTTGTGGCCGGCTGTCCAACAATCCCCTCTTGGCTGGCCCTGTCAGGGGACAGACTTGGCAGCAAGGGCACATTGTGAAATCAAACAGGGAATGGGCTGGGGTTTTGGTTGATTTTTTTTTTTTTTGCATAATGTATCTCCCTCTGTGAATGCCCGTGTTCCTTACATGGCAAGAAAACCAACAAGAATTTCCAGACCTTCCTTTATACCACCCATTATTTTGCATAGCCTTGTAATGCCTTTTATTAATTTCCTTTTAAAAATTAACTCCTTTTTAATTATGTGTCTATGCAATGTCAAAGCATTTCGGTGCATTTTTCACGCCATGTGTATGCCAGCTCTCTGGGGCTGGAGTCAGCCATGTTGTGGTAGTACTGCAAACAGTAAAGAAGTCCAGCTTCTCCGACACTGCTGCTGTTCTAGTTGCTGTCAGTGCTGGTCACTGGGGAAACTGAGCCTCAAATACCAAAAAAATCTTCCTGTGATGACCTACTGTTTTGCAGAGGGCAATGGGCCTAGCGTGCCTTTTTCTGAAAGATAAAGAGGAAAGACAGCCATTGTCCCTCTACTGAGAGGGATCTGAGATTTATTTTTAACTTCAAACTTTTCTATGCATCATGAAAAAAGCTGAAAAATTCTATTTTCATGGAGGAGGAGATTACAGGAGAGAGAAATAGTCTGATGCGTTTTAGATTAGAGATTCTTCCCTAAGAACAGAGGCTGTCATAGCATGGTGTCCCATGCCAAAGAAAATCTTTTCCCCAATGCTGTCAGCTAGGCCCAGTTCTCCACCAAATACATTTTCAAGAAATTTTGTACTGAGAGTTCTCCAACATGATGCTTCTGGGAATTCAGGTTACTCTCCCTCTGCCAGTACTGGGATGACGAAGTCCTGAAGGTAGTCTGCATCGTAGTGATGTGATAACAACTGCTCTGAAATGGAAAAATTTCACACATCTGTGTTTTAATTCTCCAGCTTGAGACATACCTTCAGGATGTCAGTTTCTGATGACATGTTTGGGCGAATGATGCCTTATCTGTGTGCCTTTCCTGTGTATCATCCTGATCTGGTAACTTGAATGCCATAACCAGAAAGCTATGTTAATTGTACATGGTTTTAAGTCAGAGTAGTCCAAATCATATTCCTCAAAACTATCAGCCTCACAAAATCTGCTTGCCTGTTTGAGAAGCCGGAGATATTCCAGCTCTGTTAGAGAAATCACATAATTATTTTTGTAGCAACAAGAATCTCCAATCAAGATAATCTTAGCCGCATGGATATTACATATTTCTGTTTCCTAAAAATAGAAACCACTAAGTATATGAAGGGGTACTGTAAACACAAGCATAAGTGAAAGAGTTCTACTGTTGCTGGACTCCTCCTCCCACTCAATTTGGGCAGTTCGAAAAGAAACTTATTCAGTATTAAGTTACAGTAAGGAATTGTTGACCTTGGTGTAATTGAGAGCAAAGATAAAGTCAACTCAATGGGGTTTGCTTCAGCTTGCAACATTTCAATTTAAGCCTCTACATTTGTTTGGATCATAAAAATGAAAACCTAGAGAAAATACTTGTTAAAAACAAAAAATGCTGAGAGTCTACACAAACTTCTTCATAAAGTAATTTTTACTGAAATGCTCACAGTTGTGTTAGCATCATTTGCTTCTAATCTGGGCTTCATTCTAAACACTGTATGTTAACAAGCTTAGACCACTTAGTGCCAAGCGCTTTATACATTTCTCTTTAATTAAATTTCTCCAAAGAATTGCATTACATAAGGATTTGCCAATACAAAAAGCGCACTCTTGGAGCTCCTGGGTAAAATCCAGGCACCCCGGCAGGAACTCACTGGCAACGGGATTCCGCTTGTCAGGTCTTTGCTATACGTGGGTAATAATAAATTATCTTGTTCCTTATGTATTAAGTTCTCAGGTATACTATTCTAAGAAAATAACTTAATGAGGTCCACTTTACCATTTCCATTACTAGATAAAAATAAGCATTACTTTGGAGTTCAATAATGTCTCGTTTCAAGTATGTTTGCGGTCACTGGAATATGCAACAGATGCCAGTTTGGATAAGCTTCTAGCCTGTGGACGGAGGTAGGCATTCGCTCTGATCATCTGCAATTTTACTACAGAATTCGAGCGCAGAATTGCCTGTACCGAGCTCAGGGAGACACGTGAACCATCAGCATTTAGGGTTTCTCCTATCTGTACAGTGATATGTTCAGTAAAAAGTTATAGGCGATTAGGACACGGAAGTGGCTTAAAAATGAAGATTTTAAATAATCTTTATGATCATCAATGTAAGACCAGGTGTAACAATTTACCTTTATTTAATTATGAGATATTTTTCATCTGTGTGAAACACGTTGAAGTGGGCTACACTCAAACTAGTTCTGACCTTCTTTCCTCTTGCATGTTTTTTTTTTGCAGCAGTTTTCCATAACTCAGCTGTGCAGGGCTGTGGGGTTTGATGTTTGAGTCCTCATGCAAAAGCAAAAGGTAAATTAGGGCTGCTCTAGGCCTGCACTGGTCAGGAATGGGAAGCGCAGGAGTGGTTTGAGACGGTACCAGCTCCCTCCACTGCCCTGTGGGATCCATCATAGAAATGGTGGAGGTTGTCTGCCTGATGCTCATCTGCTTCAGTGCAAAGTTACGTTCCTAACTGAGATATTTTTTTTTTCAGTTACTCAGATGTTACCTAGTTACCAGCTAATCACAGCCTGGTAACCATTTAGAGAAATCCAAATTTTTATTTACGACAAGGTAAGTGACCCTAAATAAATCAGCCTGGTGACACTTAGCTGCCCAACTCTAAAACGGGATGAGATGCCACAGGGAATTTATTTGAAGCGTTCAGACAAAAACTGCAGTATGGAATTGCAATTAGCCTTGACAACACAAATTCAATTTAAAATATTCTTAACTGGTTTTAAAATAAAACTTCAGATTCCCTTTGACTGCAACCCAGTCCTGAAGCTATTTAAGCCTGCGTTGCCTATCCCGTGCCTGATTTTCTGATCTGGTTGTAAGATTACTATTAATAGACCAGAAGTGGGGTAAAAAAAAAAAAAAGAGGAAAAAAAAGAAAAAAGTGAGATTACCTAATTCTGCAAATACCAGCGTTTGTTGATTTGCTCGCTTCATTTTAGAAGAGTGTTGGGAGAAGTTTAGTTTTCTGACGGGGATTAATCTTTCCCTTTTGTGACTCTGGACCATCCATCCCTCCCCGCCTTCCCCCAATTCCGGCACGGGGTTGCTAAGCGACATGTTCTTCTCTTCTGTACTTTAGCAGAGAGGAACAGATCAAAGACACCCACAGTCCTGAATTATTTTATAAATGAATTTAAAGAGACACTCTCCCGTGCGGTATTACGGAGGGGGAGATCAAAAATTGCTTTATGTACAGATAGTATCTGGAGAATTAAACTGAGGTCTTCTGGAAAATACAAATGGTCTCGTTACTGTGAACTATGTAATATTTACCTTTTTTTTCACTTTTTCAGAACTAGACTATGAGTTTATGCTAATTAATGTTTCTACTTTTATGGCAATCAAGACATTGAACGCAGGCCAGGCTGCATGTTTGTATGACTTTCTGAAGTGAGGTTTTCTGTCACCAAGTGACAAGCTTGCTGGTTTTTTAACTCTTTTCATCTCTTGCAAGAGTTGCCATGATTCAAAAATATTTCACTCTCTAAATATTAAATGCTTTCCTGACTGACATTAAAGGTGAGAAAATCACAGGGTAAATTTCAAGTGATCTGTCCTTAAAAGAATAAATGAAGATAAGAAAGTGATCTGGGTGCATCAGGCAAAAAAACTAAGACACCAACATCTCAGATCTTTCTGAAAAGCATGGAAACTAAATGAATAATCTTTAATTAAAAAATGTGAGGATGCAGAAGTTCAAACATCACCTCTTACCAGACCAGCACTTATCTGGCATCAGCTCAGGGCTGCTATTCTATACAAGCTGTGAGATTTTTAAGAGCGTACTGGCTGTTATGGCAAGCACTTCCTGGACAGAAAAGGGAGGAATTATTTGCCCTTGGACCTACTCAGTTTCAAACGCCATCGATATTGTAAAAGGAAAAAAAACCTCCAGCACTTGGCAACAAAGTGCAAGAATCTTTCATGACTTTCGTTTCCAAAGACACTATCGCCGCACAGCCCTAAGAACAGGGAGAGGAACACAAATAAACACTTGAAGCGTTAACCAAGCAAGTGAGACAAATGATTTACGCAGCAAGCAAGCAAAAATCCTGGGCCAAATGGCTGCAAAAAAGGCATCTTGAAAACTGCAGGCAAAATTCTTCCCAGGTGCAAACCTCGTTGTTTTGTTACCAGTCCCCTGATCTGCATAAACAAATGTCCCCTTTAAAACAGTTTCAGAGGCTTGGTCACCCAAACAGGTGCTTGTGCAGGCACAAAACCGCTGGCTCCAGTTGTAAAGCGTGCGCAGATGAGCTCATGCTCCCCGCAGCATGCCGGGTCGCAGCGCAGAGCTGGCTCCTCGCTCTCGTCCTCTGCCTGCAATCGCACACAAAACTGAGGCTGGATTAGTGAAACCTAATACGCTCCAGGACTGTAAAGGGACTAATCTCACATAAATCTTCACCAAAAAAAAAAATAAATCTGCGTTAGTATTTATTTACATGCATTTTATTTTTCACTGAGAAAACACGCCTCCTATTTTCCTGCACCGGTAAAAGTCTCTTCAAAATTCCAATTGCTTAGATTTGGCATTTAAAAATCCACTGTACTACAGTTAGCCTATATTCTCGTAAAAGCCTGTATTTTAGCAAGGGGCTTACCCAGCTTTTCCATTTCATTGCTAGATATCTATTACACGGGCAAGATGTGTACTTTGCTCTCACTGTTTTATGAGATTTTGGCTGAATTTCTGAAGGGGAAAACTGTGACTTGCACTCTAAATATTTTTTTCTGGAGAATAGGTTCCTCCAAAGACTATGGGCATCTTGTACAAAATACAAGTAAACACTTGGAAAGGAATTTAATGCTTCTGGTGGGTGCCAACATGCCAGCCCTGGAAACCGAAATCCCTGTGACCTGTGGCAGAAGCACTGCTCCTCCACCACGCTTTGTTCAGCAATTCCGTTCGATCAAGCTAGTATTTAAGGTAAAATGTTCTGAAGTGAGAATGTCGTAAGAATTTTAGTGTTTATTATTGGTATATCTTATTAATATTTGTAGAATTGTATATATTTTCTATTTTTGTAGAATAACTACCTTATTAATATTTGTAGAATTTTGGTTAAGGAATTTTGAGTCTTTCCTTATTTCCAAGATGCTGTACAAACATCTGTGGCAGCTGGATGACAGATGTGAGCCACCAGGGCAGAGGTTTGGGCCTTCGAATCAGAGGTGATGCTTTTGATATGTGGGAGGGCATTGAAGGCCACTGAGAACATCAATAATCTTACCTCACATTTCTGCAGTGCTCTGCCCGCTTACATAGGCTACCGGTAATTAGTGATGGGGATCCTTCTGGAATGATCAGCAGTATCATTTAGATTGTCATTAAAATACAATTAGCAGCCCTTTGAACTGAGCGCCAGAGTTTGGAGCAACCTAATTGGTGGCTCGTGGGCCAGAGCTGGATAGCAGGAGGCTTGTGTCTGCTTTTCCTCTCCTCTAACTGCACTGGCTCAAGCCGAGCCCTGGCCCCAGCGTGGTGGCTGTGCCCACGGGACAGGCATCGAGAGCCATTCTGCAGCTGGAAAGGCAGCAGCACAAAGTGCCCCTTGTGTCCAGCCCACTGCCTTGAAAAGCCTGGATTTTGTAGAGCTCATTGCATCCTGTGTGCAGACTCAAGCAGGCACGACCCCACAACTTTATACTTTGCAATTCAAATCAATTTGATTTTTCTTCTTTTTTTTTTTTTTTTAACTCGACTTTCAGAGCACAGCTTTGGGTAGAAAGAGCCGTAGGGATGAAATAAGGGCAGTACGTGGTAAGACAAATAACTGAGCTATCTACATCTATGGATGACACGTTGGTAACCATGTTGGCACGTGCTTGGGTAAGATGAAGCATTTAGTTACTGCAGCAGACTGGAAGTGAAGGGCTGGCTTGGATGGTTGTTCCCAAACCTGGCAGCCATATCCCACATTTAGGTAGCTAAATCTGTCACTTCCATGCTTTAGATACTTATGTTAATTGCATAAACGCCAACAAAACTGACATGTTTTTAAAGTGTTAGCAGTGTAAATAGCTGCTCTTCTGAAATGGCCACAGCATATATTTTTAGCTCCTTGTGTACTCTTCTGATGATACCACTTGCGAACGCATCGTATTGGTTGTAGTACCTAGCAATAGTAATGTATTAGTATCTGTTTGTAATGCTATTGATTCCCCTGCATAAAGCACTGTAGAATATACTTTAAATACTGGCTTTTTGTATGTCTCACACAACTATTCATTGGTACCAAGGGAACAGCATGCTACTGTTCCAGGTTTTCTAAGAAGCCGTGCTATTGCTCTCCAGCTCCTGTCGCCCGCTTCATAACGCCTTTATTATTTATGCTTTTACTCGTGCAAATTCAGATTTAGAACTGAAAATTTTCATGCTTTCGTTTTTTAAAAAGAATTAAAGGCAGCAAATGGACCTGATGTAATCTGTATACTGTGTGCCATGGCTAAGTATCCACTGCTGTGAAAGCGCTGCTTGTTCTCTGAAAGGAGGAATTCTTTCAGACGGCGTTGCTTGCCCCCTCCTCTGCGAGGCCGCTTTTCCCATACACTCGGAGGACTTGCTGCCAGTCATTTTCTTGCCCTAGAAGTTTGCTGGAGCAATACTGTGATTTACCCAATGTTTGTACAGGGCCTAGCTCCTAACAGGTTGGCCTCTAAGTATAACCAGAAGTTTTGCGCTTGGGCGTAGCAGTTGCTCTGCTAAGGTACGATGGCTTTTTAATCATCTTTTCTTTGGATTGGTCCTTGGACTACATATTGCTTCATCTCAATGTGGGCTTCACAGCAGGCTTTCAGATAAGTTCTTTTCTCTTCCTCTGCCATTCACGTGGAAAGCAGCATGCTTTCAGATATGTCCCATCCACAAAGGATTTCAGTGTTGGCCTGGCGTGTTTTATTAGTATTTGAATGGCCCTAAAGAAGTTATTTGGAAAGCAGCAGATGCCTTTGGAAAAGAGGGAAAG